TTCCATTTTTCGTTTAATAAATTGGGTAATACGAGTGTAATGGTGACTAAAGGGTGTTTTTTCATGTCCTCTATGCTCTAACTATGAAAATATTTGATTTACAAATAAGGAATCCTACTTCACGGAATTTCATTTATCACGGTAGGGTCTAGAACTGATTAGCCGCGATAAACGAGGGTTCACTGTACATCATTCTATCACTTCTCACAATAGCCTTAAGAGACAGGAATATAGTAAACTTTACTTAATAGCTGAGAAATGAAAGGAGGCAAATAACCTGCCCACCCCCACAGCATGTCCAAATGACAGATATGTAATGGTTGCATGTGTAACCTCTGGAGCCACATTGCAGGGTTAAATTTCGACTCCCCCGGGACTAAAATCATCATTCAGGTCAATTTTCTATGTATCTGAAGTTCTATTTGATCTGTTTCCTCACTTGAAAAATTGGGTTTTACTTGCCTCAAAGGTTTGTGATGATTAAATGATTATTGCACATAAAGTATTCACTGATTTTCTTGGCTAACTCCTTGGAGTCAAATCCCCCAAATATATTGAAATTTCAACTTCTACTCATCACCTTATCTGCTACCATCCAGGCCCAAACCACCAAATCCTTCCTTAGCGCTGGCATTGTCTCCTAACTTCTTGCTTTCATATTATTCTACTGGCAACACAAAGCCAGAGGGCTCCTTCTTACAGGTTAGCTTAGATGTAATTCTTCTGCCTAAATCTATCCACTAGTTTACTATTTAACTCAGAATACTTCAATTAGAATAAAAGCTAAAGCCCACCTAATGGCCCACTGGGCCTTATATACTACAAGTCCCCTGTACCTCTGTGAGCTCATTTCCTACCAGCCTATTCTTGCTACTCCTGGTCTAGTCATACTAGTCCATTTACTACTTCCCGAACAAACCAGGCACCCTTCCATCTGTGCATGTGTTTCTCCCTCTACCTGGATGGCTCATGCCCTCACTGCACACAGAATTACATTTCAAGGCCCATCATCAGTGAAGCCTTCACTGTACTGTTCCACATCCACACAAGGCACTTCATAGTCTCTGTCTGCTTTATTTCTATCCAAAGTTTTTATTACTACATGTCATGTTCAATATTACTGCTCATGATATTCCGTTCAACTTAAAACTATTACGCTATATAGCTGAGAAGCATATTCTTCAAATGCAATCCATATGGTCTCCTTCAATTCAACATACTTTTGCTGAAAAATTCTAATTATATTCTCTCTATTAAGTTTTAAACACTTTTGCCTTTAGGATGCTTTCACATTACCTTGTCGATTGACTTCATTTTGAAGTAGCTCTTCCATTGCCTCATCTTCTGCAATATCTAAAGGTGTGTCTCCTTCACTGTTAACAGCTCCTACATGTGCTCCCTGACCAATCAAAAACCTGCAAAATGAAAAGGAAGCCAGTTAAGTAGGGTCTATCATTGAAATAAGATTAAAGACACAATAGAGGAAGCTCCTATGTAACAGCATCAATTAAAAGCAAAGATAGTATATGTATTATTTAAATTTAAAAAAATATATATACCATAGAACATGACTTTAAAAAAATCTGTATTTCCTACTTTTTTAATAATGTACACATTTTTTAACCTACAAAATGTTAATCTTAAAAAATAATTAAACTAAATAGGAATGGAAAAGAGAAAAAAAAAGAGACATGGGATGGGGGGCAAGCAGGGCACTAACCCACCCAAGGGGAGGGTATTGTTTATATCTCCAGAGGAGAGGGAGAAAGAGACCAGACTTCAACCCAGTGCACCAAGGCGTGAATATAACATACCCGCATGTAGCAGGGAATCAATATAGAGAGATCTGTGGGGCCAGCCCCAATACCAACTATGTGCACACCACCCCTCAATTCCCCCAAAAGAATGTACTTCTTCCCCAGAACAACCTCCCTCTCCAACCCCCGAGGACAGCACTGAAGCTACAGCTTAGGGAAAGGGCACGTCTGATCGTAGCACACAGGAGAAACGAAGAGGGAAGGAGGTGAGTGGAACACATCCTGGCCCACCAAGCACCAAGAACGATACTTCTGCTGAGAGCAGACAAAGCACAGAGAGAACCATAGGACCAGCCCCACCACAAGACATGAAATCCCTCACTGAACCATAGTGCTATGGGGGCCAACACTGGAGACTCAGTGCGGGAACTGTGCCGAAACTCTAAGGGCAACAGAGCAGTGAGGGGAGCAAAGCAATGAAGTCCCTAGGGAATACCAAAAATAAGACTTTGGGGACAGGGTGTGGCATTCCTTCAGACTCCACTGGAAAACAACTCCTACAGGTCAAAAAACAAACCTGGAACTATTTATAGGCTTTTCCTTTTTTGTCGTTGGCTTTCTTTTTGTTTTGTTGTTGGTTTTGTCTTCCTTTGTTGTATTGCTTGCCTTTTCCTTGTTTTTGCGCTTATTAATGTCTCTGCATGTCTATGTAGATAATATAGGCAGGATAAACAGTTTGGAGAAGAAATCAATGCGACTGACAGTTCCAGGGGGGTGGGGGTGGGGGAACACGGGAGAATAGGAGGTGGGAGAAATGAAAGGGGTGTGTGTGTCAACCAACCCAGGGACAAGGGAACAACAAGTGAACTACAATCGATGAAGAGAAGGGCATAGGATGCCTAGTGAGGCTTAATCAAGGGCAATGAATTATTGAACCCCGAATGAAGGCCGAATATGAGAGTGGGACAGAAGGAAACTAAAAGGAAATAGAGGAAATAACTTGGAGGGAAAGAGCATTTATAGAGGTATAAATACAGGCATGTAGATATGTAAATATATTTATATACAATAATAGGGAAATAGATCTATGTACTTATATTTATGTTAGGTATTAAGGTAGCAGATGGACATTGGGCCTTGACTCAAGTACTCCCTCAATGCAAGAACACTTTGTTCTAATAATCTGGTATTCTGTGATGCTCACCTTCCCGGCAAGATCACTGAAGACAAAATGGGTACATAAGCAAATGTGTTGAAGAAAGCTGATGGTACCCGGCTATAAAAAGATACAGCATATGAGGTCTTAAAGGCTTGAAGATAAACAAGTGGCCATCTAGCTGAGAAGCAACAAAGTCTATATGGAAGAAGCACACCAACCTGTGTGATCATGAGGTATCGATGGGATGAGGTATCAGGCATCTAAGACCCAGAACAATATCATACCAATGTGAACGGGAGGGGGGCGCAGAGTGGAGACCCAAAACACATCTGTATGCAATTGGAAATCCCCTTACAGAAGGGTCACAAGGAAGAGACGAGCCAGTCAGGGTATAGTATAGCACAGATGAAACATACAACTTTCCTCTAGTTCTTTAATGCTTCCTTCCCCCCCCCCAACCCCCCAACTATCATGACCTCAATTCTACCTTACAAATCGGACTAGACTACACTGGTGCAGATAAGAGCTGGAAATACAGGGAGTCCAGGATAGATAAACCCCTCGGGACCAATGATGAGAATAGAGATACCAGGAGGGGAAGGTCAGGGGAGAAAGGGGTAATTGATCACAAGGATCTACATATAACCCACTTTCAGGCATAAAAACAACAGAAAAGTGGGTGAAGGGAGATAGCAGACAATGTAAGATATGAAAATAATAATTTTTAACTTATCAAGGGTTCATGGGGTGGTGGTGGTGGGGAAATGTGGAGCTGATATTAAGGGCTCAAGTAGAAAGAAAACACTTTGAAAGTGAGGGTGGCAACAATGTACAAATGTGCTTGACACAATGGATGAATGTATGGATTGCGATGAGATGTAAGAGTCCCCAATAAAAGTATTTAATTTTTTAAAAATCAGGAATTTTTCATAGATTAATTCACAGAGCCTCCACTATGATTACTCATCTCTACATGAACGAGAGTCCTCACAAGCTAACAAGCTCATTTTAAAGCAAAAACAAAACAGTTTTAGGGTCATGGATAGAATTCAAGTGATCTAGGAAAAATTCAACTGATGTATGTTTCAAAATAGTGTATACTATCATTATTTTGAAATTAGAGTAGATAGCATGCTCGGCACAAGATCTATTTATATATATATTTCCTCCCTGATATTTTGATAAACATATTGTAACATAATTAGTTAATATTGTAATTATTTTACTTTACACATTTAAGTCACAATTTTGAAAAAGTATCCATAGCTTCAACAAAAGGAATTCAGATACAAAAAAAGAGTATCACTTTTATGCCCATTCATAACTTAGAATATCTTTAAATGGCTTTGTATAAGGTCCAGATGAGTCAGAATCGACCCTAGGGTATTCAACAACAATCAGGCTGAGAGAAAATGTGTTACCCCTCAATGATCTGGCCTTGCCTTCTTTTCGGCCTCACCTCTTCTTCAGTGTAATTTTAGTTAGTAATACGGAGCTGCTTGTAGTTCCAAATTAAACTGTGTTCTTTTGGGATCCCTGATTTTGTTTTCCAATATGTAAAGGACACCCACCACCCCCAAAGCTTTTTTCTTCAATCCCTAACAAATCCAACTGTTGTTTAGAATTCCTTTCCATATACTACATAAAAGCATTCTGGGGGAAAAAATACTTTATACCTCTCCTATTTCCATAATCCTTTCCTCATGGGAACCACTACCAGTTGTATGGAAAATATCATTCCAGGATCCTTGCTATGAATTACTATAAATACACACATACGGATTTGGAGGTTTCTTCTTTTTAGTAAAAAAATGAGGTTATGTTAAATGAATTGGAATGCAACTAATCACTTCTAATAGATGGATAATATTCGAGTGTGGTCAAATCTTTATACTTAACAGACTTGTAGGTGGTACAAACTGTGCCTAGCTGCTAACCAAAGGACTGGCATGTTTGAACTTAGTCACTGATAACATTGAAAAACATAGCAATCTGTTTTCATAAAGATCATAGTCAAGAAAATCTTTCAGACCGAGTTTTACACTGTAAACCATAGTTACCAACATTTAAATTTTTCATCAGAACACGATATTATAAAGCTTTATTTCTCACCTTGATGAGCCCAACATATTTTATTTTAACTTTTACCTCCTGATTACACAAGAGACTAAAGGTAGTGAGATTCTGTTATTAGCATTGGTATTTCTCCATCTGTGACCCATTTATTTACATCCTTTACACTATATTTCTTTCTTTTTTTCCACTGTATTTCTAATGCATTTGTTCATTCAACAAATATTCATGGTCTATCTAGTAAGAATCCCTGGTGTTTGATGTTCATGAGCTTTTAAGAACCCAATGTAGACTCTGTGGACTATATGAAACAAACTGACCTTGGTGTCCCTCGAGACTGTGGTCTGAGCTCTTTGTATGCTCTCCTGTTATCCACAGACACAGTTGCACCGAAATTAAACTATCAATGCTCAATTTTCCTCTATCAAAATGCGTGTATACACACATATACACACATTCCCCTTTCCACTCTTAATTCAGTCTATCTATGCATACATCTACTCACAGATCACATTATTGCAGGATTAGGTATATAACAGTATTTAACACTAGGTTTATGAACTTTTTAATATCCCTATCTCTAAAGAAAAATGTCAAATTGACGTGAATGAAATCACATTTTCTTTTTAAAAAACTTCTTAAAAAACAGAATTATACACTATTAATTTATAAATGAAATGATGTGAAACAATACATTTTTATAAAATATATTTAATATTACACAACACTTCAGATATTGGGATCAACCAATCAAAAGTGTCTCTTGAGTCTCTACTGCATGTTTCTGTCTTTACATTTGATGTTTACTTTCTAAGAACTTTTTGCCTATGTTTATACTTATTACTGAAGAAATGCTTTCATGAGTGAAGCCGATTTACTGGGATTAATCCTCAATTTAAGTTCGCATCAAATTGATGTGCATCCATAAAAAAATAGGCATACCACAGGGAGAATTTTTATTTTAGAAGAAAATGAATTTGGGTATATATTTGTCTTGTTAAATTTATAAGTATGCACAAATGGTAGGAAATAAATGTAAATGGTTTCTGTAATTTGTGTTGAGGAAATCAAAATGTGTCAAAACGATGCCCCTGATTAGCCTAGTATTAACTCAGTCTTTAAATCTTGAACTCCTCTGTGTTCTCTTCCATCATTTTGCCAACTTCCCTCTTATTGTATACTCCCTTCCCTCTTCACCCAAATTCTTGTAATCTACTTGACTTCCTTTCCATTTGTAGTTCCGTAAGTGCATTATTTTCTCACTTTACTTGCAATAGTCTTCACTATCAACTGATAGATCTGATTGCCTGCTTTTGTTCTTGTAGTCTTGTTTTACTTTAAGTATGTCAGAATCTGGGTTGAGTTCTGGGTGACATAGTCATGTATGCCAATTGTAGGTTGTTTGCTATTATTCTTTAGTATTTTT